GCAGGTGTGGGGAAAAGGAACAGGAGAGAAATTGAAGGCAATAGGAACAGAGCGAGAACGAACGTAGACAAGACGTGTCACATCTTCTCCAAGCAAGACTGAGTGGAGACACATGCAAAGGCGCAGCATGAAGACAGCGTCTGAAGAGGAGCTTGCCGCCTCCCAATGGCCCCAGCAGCTACTGTGCCCAGGGAGGCCCTCAGCAAGCAGGAGAGCGAGCGGTGGCTCCTGCTGTCCAGCACCGTCAAGGTCTAACGCCAAGGCTGCGGGGGGATCTTATTCTCCTAGGCTGGGGATGCTGGCCAGGCCCAGAGAAATAATGCTCCCTCATCGTGGCCCCTGGTTTCTGGGTTTGCCACAACAGTGAGAGTATGATAGCTGAGTTCTCTCGGATCTGACGCAGTAGGGACAATGGGGAGAGAGGGGTCAAACGGTAGGGTAAGGGGGCGTGGCAAATGAGAATGGGGTCCAGGCACTTTTCAGGAGTGGGGTGAGAGTTGGTCCTGGAGCTGTCACACCCCTGGGGGTGACAAAAAATCATAACTGGGGTTACAAGGAGGGACAGCAGGGGAGATAGAGGATGGTCCTGTCACTGTCACTCCGGAGCATCCACCCAGCAGGCCACAGGAAACCCCTAGCACATGTGAGCTCACCAAGACTTCCTGACCCATCCATGCTCTCAGTGCTAACAGCCCAAGGGGGGCCCCCAGCTGGCCTCATACAATCCCGCAGCCTCTTGGCTGCTACACTTTCGTAACTGCAGATTATAAAGCAATGGCATGGCATCCTCATTAAGGGATGCTTTTCTTACGACTATAGGTGTATAGTCCTGCGTTGGAATGATCAGCCTTCCTGGACATCTCCAGGTGGCGAAGGGAGGCAGCTGTTTCTTGCCAAGGGAAGTCAGGGGCACCAGGAGGAGGCTCTCCTGCTGCCATCGGAGTGCCAGGGGCCTACATGTTCCCAGAAGCACCGCGATGGCATCCATGGCAAAAAGAAGCATCTTCTCAGTGACCATGAGAGCAAGAGAGCCTAAGAGCCTCTTTAAGAGACTCGATACCCCTCTAAATGCCCAGTGCCTGAGACCCCCACCTGGAAGAAGGTGGGAGATGTGTCGCCATGGTGGAGAGCAGAGGAAGGAGTGCAGTTCCTGCATCTCCATGTTTGCCTCTTGCAAACTCTACTTCCTTCTCCCTGGGAAGCCTGTCCTCTCCCCTGTGGAGCTCTTCCCAAGACTCTCTCCCTATAGCGGTCACCCAAAGGGGTCAGAAGTGACTACCATGGGGACCTCGAGAGCAATTTGAACCTGAGGGCAGACATCTCAGTCTTATAACAGCCAAGAACGGGCTGCAGAATGCAAGAAGCATAGGAAGTGGTGACATTTCCCTGCCCTTGCCCTCACAGAACCAAAGGCGATCTGGTCCTACGGGAGATGCAGGGGTTGAGGGAAGAACCTGGGCCACGCCCCAACCCTGTGCTCTGTTGAGAGGACCAACTATTAGCAAGACCCCCAAGAAGACAGTGAGGGACCAGCTACCCTGAAGAAGGTCTCAGTCTTTGAGGCTTAGGGGAAGGGGGTGCTATGCCTGAGGCTGCTGGGGAAACAGGGCAGAGAGGGGGATGGGGTGTTCCTGGGTACCAGTGTGGCCCCAGAAAGGTTTCCACAGGTGCAGAGATGCAAAGCAGAACTTAGGCATTCTGGACCCCTCAGAGTGCATGCAGGGTCCCAAAGGGCTTCTGTGGGAGCTCTAGGTGTGTCGGCAGCAGGATGGCGAGGTGTCTGAGTGAGGAATACTGTAGGGAGGCTTTGGGAGAGGGCTTGACATGTAGGATGGGGTGAGAAGCTGCAGCTAGGTAGTGCCCGAGCGTGGCCTGGTGGGGCTGTTAGAGCAGCATGATGTGGGGAACCCAGAAGCCGTGGGGATCGAGGAGCAGAGGCTGCTGCCCCCACAGAGGGGGGAAGGGGATATGGTCTGGATTCCCCTGTAAAGGAAGCGATGGCCCTGCCAAAGCCCCGTCCGCCTGTCCACCCCCCGCCCCGCCCCAGCCGCGGAGCTCCCTTACCTATTGAGCTGAGGAGAGGCTTGTCTCGACAACACTGCCCAGATAGCTGAGATCAATCAGAAACAAAGCAGTTATCAACACAGGCCGTGGGGGAACCACCCACGTACACCCAGAGGGGAGGAGGGGAGGAGCACAGGGACCAGAGAACCGACAAGGCCAGAGAATGGGGTGAGGGGAAGGAGAGGAGAGAGACAGAGAACCAGACGGCACAATGGGACAAAGCAGATGAAAGTGCTGCGAAGCACAGACGACAGGGCTGCGCACACAGCATCTCCTGCACAGACACAGGCACGACCGGCCACGGCCATGGCGCACCATGCCTGGCGTCCTAGCTAGAGCTCTCCTCCACCTCCCGAGGCCCACTCCTTTCGTCCCCCACCAGGAGCAGGGTGGGAGTGGGAGATGAGGCTTGCACTTCCAGGTACCAGAGAGGGTGGGGGTGAATGGGGCCAGAGAAGGGCGCTGGGCTCCCTCCTCCTCAACCGCCTCCCATCCTGCCTACCACCAGGCCAGCCCCTGGAACTCTCTGCTCCCCTGCACAGGCGGCCACATTAAGAAGAGAGACCAAAGGACGGAACCAGAGGAAAAAGACAGAAAGAGAAAGAGAGGGAGGGCGGGAGCGGGGGAGGGATTG